CACACACACACACACACACACACACACACACACACACACACACACACGCACACACACACAGTGATAAAATGTCCAAAGTGTGAGAGCAAACAGTGACTGTGACATCTTTACTTCAAGGTGCCGGAGGGCTCACTCACACTCAGTGTGTTGGTAAGTCCCATCAGTCGAGAAATGGCTGCGTTGAAGAGGAAGTCCTCTGTGAAGTGAGATGTCACCTGAAAACACAGGTAACACAGTTTTGGTTACTGGGCATGTGGACTGTGTGATGGAATAACTTTGAGTCTGCCTCTGAAGAATTATGAGGAAACAATGACCGAACCACCGTTCAATATAACATGATGAGATCTTTAGCCCTGCCAGCACGCAGACTGATATTACTAAACTTGAAACAAGCACAGGCTCTCCACTCTGCTGTTTTGAAAGATGTCATGCAGCACCTGCATTTGGGAAAAAAAAATATATTCTCATTGAGAAGTAGTGACGACAAGCTCTACCAGACCTGGCAACCTTTTTTCGACCGCTTCAATAGCAGTGCACTAATCCTTCCCACATACTGGCCTGGAGTCAACAAGATTCACAAGAGCACTATCGACATATTCAACATCCACTTACTTCTTTTCTTACTCCAAAATGTATTTATTTATTTATTTTGATACATTTTCCTGTTGCCTTTATTTGAACTGAACTTTAGGTATTATACTGTAAAACATTGATAAGTTTTATTTCCGTTTCTATTTTTTTATGTCCTCTTAAAGCCTGCACTTAAAATATTTCTTCCTGTATTACTACTGTATGTTTCCCTTTGAAAACCCCGATAAAGAGAGTTTAAAAAAAAAAAACAATGAGAGGCCCAAAAGAGGAGCCTCCTCCCATTATCACCATGTGAACCGGCTGAAGGCACACAGCATGTCAACATTGCCCTGCTTAGCCTTCTGGGAAGAAGAACCAGTTTGGAAAGGGCAAAAGGGAGGAGGAGGTCGATCACCGAGGCTTTTCTGAGGGACGGATCAAAAGACAGCCTTGGCTTTGGGGGCTTATGGCAAACAGCCAGAGATCCTTTAAAAACACCAGCCCTGAGGGGCAGAGAGAGAGAGAATCAAACCTGGCAGCCAAAGGAGGCTATTTATAAAGTGTGAGAGGAGACGGAGTGGATTTAAAATCAATTTCCATTGCCTCCTCCTTTTACTCTTGGGGTTTCAGGTTACGATAGATGTTCGGCTATGGATGGAAAGACTGGAACTCAGGACTGTGTACTATAGCTGTTTAACGAGTGACATATTACCTTGAATGTTCTCATACCTTGCATCCTGAAAAAATATACCTTACAACATTGTATACCTGGCAACATTGTATTAACAATCTATTGCAGTGTAAAAAGCCAAAAATATATATCTAAAACTGCATATTAAAAACGAGAACCAGAGATAACTGATACTATTGTAATAGCAGAGAAATTAAATTAAAAATAGACCAAGATGACGGCTGCAATTGTGCGATTCACTTATCTTATTGAAGGAAGACGAAAAATAACTTGCTGTGAAACATAGGGAGTTTAAATGTGTGCCCATTACTGACCCCTACTGGTAATGACTGTAGCAATATCTAACTGTTTAATAATGTCACCATGAGCCATTTTCAGCCATTTATTCCACTCGGTCTGAGACTATACCTCTTGAATAGCGTAGTTCTTGTTCTCCCAGATCTTCGTCGCCTCCGCCAGCTCTTTCTTTTTCAGCAGGGAGGGGCTGGGGACGTCTCCGAGTTGCCGAGCCCCCCTCAGCTTGGTCACGAGCTGCCAGAGCCGAGACTGCCATCGTAGGACACCAGGGAGGGCATCGGCTGAGGTGGTCAACACACGCAGACGCAGAAGGAAAGGATGTTACAATATGACGTACTGTGGGAGAAACGACTCCAGAATTGAAAACAAGAGATATTGGTTTCTTTGAGGACACTATTCATGGCATATAGATAAAGCTAAATCTCACAAAACCAACATGCTCTGACATGAGTTAACGATGCTAAATAATAACACATGGTGTTGGTGCAATCTTCACGGCTCACTCTTGATATTCCAGAGGATGTCCTGTTCAGGCGGTGCAGCGTAAAGGGTGTAGAGTCGAACTGTGTCCAAGCCGTACTTCTGCACCACCTCTTGGGGGTCCAGACCGTTGTGTTTAGACTTGCTCATCTTCTCCCATGTCACCTCAACACGACCACCGCCATGCACCACCGGCTCCTTGTCTAGAATAGGGAGGTTAGGGGTCATAGGTCAGATATAGCTGGACAAAGTGTTTTTATTTCTTTACTTTCATGGTCTCCTGCCAGCTCCTGTTCGATCACAATAAGTAAAATACAATAGAAAGATCAGTCAATCTGAGTCTATGACAGCAGGATCTTCTGTTTATCCCGTTATCAATAGAGAGAAGCTGAAGCTCCTTGGGCGTGAAGCTAATTGTAAGAGACCTCTTACGTCTCTTCAAAAGATTTGTTGTGATTTGATTTTGTCACGAGGAGCTGGTGAACGTGTCATTCAAGATGGAAAAGCAACAAAGCACAAAACAAAGAGCTTTTAGCAGCACAAAAGGGTTAATTAGGGGCATTGATTTAACTACACACTACAATAAAAAACAAGAATGTTGTCATGACTCATTTGTGTTATCTGGCAGAGCCACGTGGAGGGAAGCCCTCTGCTCTCCTCTCTCATCTGTTACAGATGTGTCACACTGACAAACACCCTGCAGATTCAGCAAGTGTGTACCTGTGAAGTCGATTTCTTCTCTCTTTAGGTACCGGCCGCTGTCTGCTAGTTTGAATGTCTGGCCCTTGATCAGACCCTGGACCAGCAGCTTCCGAAAAGGCTCCCTGAAAGGACAGGGAGAGGATTAATTAACATACACACGTGTAAACGTGCACGGCAAAAGCAGATAAAGCACTGTGTACTGTACCGGTGAGCGACAAGACCCTGATCCTTGCAGAAGTGACAGAGGAAGCGAGCGTAGTACAAGTGCATGACAGCGTGCTCCTTCCCTCCGATGTACACGTCCACGGGCAGCCAGTGATCCGCTAGGTGGCGCTCAAACGGCCTGGAGGGGAACAACATATGTATTTTAGGAGCCGTATGCAATAAGCCTGCTGTTACCCAAGCCTAAGTATTTCACTAATAGATTGTATATTTCATTACTTTTAAGCAATTTTGACTTTAAAAAAAATTGCAATCATAATTACGTTGACATTATCTTGTTCGACTCTGCAATTCGAATCATAGGCGGCTGATATAATTCAAAAAGTATTTATATAGCCTAACGATGTCACCATGAATTTAAATTGGCTATTGATGCTATTGAATAACGCAGCAATATCGAAATGAACATCTCAAACTGCAAAACGTCCGAAATGAATCGACGCCCTCCCGTTGCAGTCATCTATGGCCTTGTTGTGGCGAGATGTTTTTCATATCGAACCATTTCTTCGCTATTTCAGTGAACAGTGCGACCCTCAGGGGACACGGCATTAACATCAGTCGTTGGCTTAAACTGGTCCCTTAATTCTGCCAACACGGTTGCAATTATAGACTTTCCTTGATGGATCTTCGAAAGCCTGACTTCAGTATCGGACATATGTGGCAGGACACTTAGCTTTATATGGTATTATTGGGGCGTTCACTATGCTAAATCTGACGTGATTTAGGAGCCTTAATTCTGACTCTTGTAGGAGCCCATCATTTGAAAAAAAATAAGTAAGTAACAAATACGAATATGTTCTTGCATGAGGTCTATTATTTTTGCCCTGCACTTCCCAGAGACAAAAAGGCATACACTGTGACATTTTTCTCTGCAGATATAGATGTTGTTTTCTCTTTTCTAAATGATCCATATGCTGTTTATATCAACTACTCCAACTAAATATGAAATGCATGACTTCCTCTCTCTCCACAGAGAATTTTTTTCTTTCCAGGAAACACAGACGCTACATGTTTACCACAGCTTAGGTGAGCTACTGTAGATGTAAGCTTTCCATCTTGTGTTAGATTACAAGCCCTTTACTAACGTAGTTTTATTCTTCCAGCTCTACTTTGTATTAATTGTTCATTACAAATAAAGATTATTGTTTGATGAATCAGGAACTGAGAATACAGTTTGTCGCTTTGACAACATGTTCTTAAACAACATTTTGTCACACATGCACTAGTTGTTATGCGCTTTATCCACATGAACACACACTTCCTCTAGGGGGCAGGCTGAATCTGATACACAGGGATCCAGGTATGAAGCGAACAGAAGCATCCTGAAGCCTCCTCTATCTCACTGGCTTCACACAAAGTGGTCAAGTAATACGAGTTTCAAATTGAGACTGGGCTGCTTCTCTCAGATTTTTTTATTTGATGTGTTGAGCCTGACCGGCATGCTGGTCAGCGGCGGAAGGGATTTCACCAAATGATACTTTTTTAGGGCAGTCTACTATCTCTGTGTGTCACCTTTCACACCAGTCATTACTCTTCTCTGCCTCTCGCCCTCCCTCTCCCTCTCTGGCTGATGGTGTCTCCGGATAACTGAGCCAGGGAAAAAGGTTATGAGCTCACAAGGCTGAAACTAATTTAGCTCAGGGAACTAATACATAACCACACACACACACACACACACACACACACACACACACACACACACACACACACACACACACACACACACACACACACACACACACACACTTCCATATAACACCCTGTTCCTATTTCCTTCCTCTTACTTGGTACTTTCTAACATCTCTCGCTTCCTATTTTCATCGTTTCCCCTTGTGCACAGAAGGCTCAGCAGGCTAACTGAAATGCACAAATGGTGTAATTGCCTTTTCTGTTGTGCCATAATCTGTCCCGCTAAGAAAAGTGATGGGGAGAACAGTCCCCCTCCTTTTAAAGCAGCTTTTCAGCTAGGTCAGGGCACTGGGAAATTAATCTCTTTTGTTGAGCTCAGGGTATCGCCGCGATCCCAGCAGGTGACAGCAGTCGCTCCATAATCTCTATTGGCAGGGAATGCAAACTCCAGGAAAAATGTCTGCATTTTTGTGTGAGTAGTGTGTGTGTGTGTGTGTGAGTAGTGTGTGAGTGACAGGCAGTATGTTTGAAACGGGTAAGTGGGCATAATTATGTACTTGAGTACAACTTTACATAAGCGCATATAGACACATGCACACGCTGGTGTGCATGTGGAAGTGAAATGTGTGTGAGAGGCAAGAGAGAAAATCAAGTTTCTATTGATATAGCAGAGATTTATTTTTTTAAATAGCTAAAAATAGATATGCGTATCCGCCCACTGCAGAAGAAACAGCCTTCTCTTCTTTTCATTTAATTCTCATTTGATCGACAAGAGTGTAAATAAGATCTGTGCAATTTGTGCTGAAAAACCTGTCACAGTGCGAGCAAACGGATGCAAGAGGAAAAAATAATGAGCTTGCATCTTTGGTGGCGAGTGAGAAATGGTGGAAAAACAAGAGAGTGAAGTCTCAGGAGGAGGCTGTTCATACCTGTCTGGGTTATGAGGGTCTGTGTATCTAAAGTAATACCAGGCGGAGTCCACAAACGTGTCCATGGTGTCGGTCTCCCTCCTCGCTGGGCCCTTACATCTGAATACAGAGAGAGATAGCAGAGGCAGCACAAAAATCAATATTAGGCCCACATATTAGAATGCGAACAAATGAACGATGTCTGTTTGTATGCTAAGTGAAATGGCACATTGTGTGAGAGTGTGAAGCTGGCTTCATCTGGATGTGGGGGGGGTCATGTCCCTGCAGAGAAGCCCAGCTGAGGCCAAACTGGCACCAGAGCCTTGTCCCTGTGCCCTGACTAACAGGCTGTGCTAACAGGGAACCAACTGGCGGGCAGAACACATGATCATGTGTTTGTGTTGGAAATGCCACCTCGTGCCCCTCTCCTTCCAAGCCAAACAGCATTCGGGTACGTAGTGGAAATCTGCCAACATCACTTTCACAACGGAGAAGAGGACATTTGCAAAGACACGGGAAAAGAGAGATTTATTTTGTTCAGATTTAAAGCACGTAATGAAATCGGTGAAAGCGGCTGCTTTTTACTTTATAATGAGTCTCAATAGGGTTGGAATCAGTGTCCCAGAAAGATAAACAGAAGCAAAGCTCTGAGCTTTACTAGGTGCAACAGAGCAGGTATCGAATCCTGGACCTCATGGGATGTCTCTGTTCAGTTTCACTCACACAAACATTCATCTCACAGTAAAAAAAATAATGTTTAACACCACACTCGCTAACACAGACACACACCCCTCGACCACCTACCACACCGGTCTATAATAAGGCACTGATGAGGAGGCATGAGCTGAAGGTTGCCTAGCAACAAGGCTAAGGTGTAGCAAGGTTAATATTTGGGAGCCGGGCGTTATCTCATATGATAAAAATCCAGCAATATAACGAATCATCACAAAATAATGTAAAAAATAGAAACGTCACAAAAGTTGTACAAAAAAAAGTAGCCAGCTGAAGCAGATGAGATTTGCCGCTTCCTCTCTCACACCAGACCGGCCAATCAGAGGCCAGGTTGTGGTCATTTGCACAGGCAGCTGGTCGGGGCCACAGTCAGACTACTGAGGATCAGATTAGACAACACACAGAGGTGCTCTCTCGAAAGATGGCCCATCTCTAAGCCGTGAAAGGAGCCCAACAACAACAGTGGGTAACTCAATCTGAAGTAACCTGTACGCACGAGTGCGTTGAGTGTGAATGTGTGTTCGCAGGATCAGCCAGAAAGAGCCAAAAGGCTCTCAAACAGATGAGCCAGGAGAGGCAGCTGTCCACTCCACGGACATAGGAAATAGTCCTCCATCTGCTGTGCGTCTGCGGATGTGTGTGTGCTGCACTAACTAGGTGGTTTCTCTCTCTTTACCTGTGAATTCATTAGAACAACACACACACACACACACACACACACACACACACACACACACACACA